ATATGTAACAAACCTGCACATTGTGAACATGTACCCTAGAACTTAAAGTATAATAAAAAAAGAAAAAGAAAAAAAGAAAAAAAAAAAGGCTTGCAGTTTGGGTTGGCAGACATGGTCCAGGGTTTTCCAACTTCTGTTCTAGATGGTAGGCCTCTAATGGACAACGTGGGATAAACAGAAAGCAGAAAGGTAAATTGTGTAGGAAAGGAGTCCTGGGATTTATTTCCATCTCCTTATTAAGGGTAGAACCTTGGATACTTCTGCACATTTTTTTGCCAAGCAAAACATTATCTTCATTTTTAAGAATTCTATTGTATTCATAAAGATTATAATTTACAGAAAACCCTTTAGTCTTCTTTTATGGTCACAACAGAGGCATCCTCAAACAGAGGATTGTTTTTCAATGATATTTTCATCTTTGTTATACATTTATTAAAAGAGAAATGTGAAATAGTGTTAATGATCAATATACTTTTGGAACCCCTTCTGTAGAATGGGTACAGTATTGATAAAGATGGTAATCAACAGAGAGTAAGAAATCTAGACTTAAAACAGTATGGTTCTCCACACCCCCATGTTTCTGGTTAAGAATGAATAAGAACCAATTCTTTGAAAAATCCTAAAATCAGTCTATTCTAATTACAGGTCAAACACAGAACTTTAAAGACGCCTTTTCAGGAAGAGATTCAAGTATTACGCGGTTGCCACTGGCTTTTTATTATGGAATGTACGCATATGCTGGCTGGTAAGTCGATAGCTCCAAATCTGGTGGTTTATGTAGTTCATTAATCCCATTATGCACTCATATTAAGTGCCAACCAAGGTGCCAGGCAAATGTGAATAGGCATAATCCACATAATAGTAATACGGTATTATCCCCTCCACCAGGCCAATTACTTTGCACATGACAACTACAAACATAACAGGTTTCCAGTCAAGGCTGCTAGATTTAGCCTGATGTCATAAAAAACAAACAAATGCTGGGTCTTAAGATCCAATAAAAATTACTTATAAGTATGTACCAGTAAGGACATAATAGTGCCGTAAGGTACTAGAGAATAATACTTCGCTTGTCAAAAGGCCTTTCAGCTAAAGCTCCAAGGGTATTTACAAATAGTGATTAATTGATTTTTTTTTTTCCAGCTTCTCATGAGAGAAGTAACTCAGATGTAGAAATAAGTATGACATTCCCAGAAGGTAATGGTCATCTAAAGGCAGAGAAAGAGAAACCAAGATAATGCAGTCAACTCTGCTAGACAGTCTACATTTAAAAGGACCTTACATGTCCCTTAAAATTTCCCCAACATCTGAAAATTTAAAAAATAAAGATGATTAAAATCATGATGCCACAGATATATTTCCTTTGATGTATGTCCACCTGTGATACCTACCTTTCTAGTTAAGGCATTAAAACTTTGTACTTGTACCTTGTTTGTTCAGATACTTGAAAACCAGTAATCATGGATAAGAGTGGGACTTTTTCTTCAGTAAATTTTATTGACCTTGTAAGATTTAGTTTAGATGATGGTTGCAAGAAAACCTACACGGTATTATTTAATTATCAAAATCATTATAGTAAGATTAAATTTCATTGTTTTGGGGTAAATCATGGCAATATTTATTTTTAAATTGTCTATAAATCTCATTGTTATACAGCTTTAGCTGTGAGAATGATGTAATATTAGGAAACTACACTAGCTCAAAAATTATATGAATGCATTTCCAACACAAATATAATTTCTTTTGTTTCTTTAGTTTTTAAGATCTTACCTTCTAGCCAATGCATGGAACATAGATATATTTCAACATGAATGGAGTGTTTACCCTATTAATCTCATTGAATTATGAAAATATAGTATTAGAGGATAATTAGGGAGTATGGGAACTTAAAATCTTAACATGGCCTGTGAGGCAAAATACGTTTGAAGATTGTTAGAAGATTATAGCTCTAAGGAGATCAGTGTAAAATATTTGTATATTCCCAGAATATTTTTATACCCATTATATGTAAGCATTAGTTTAGAATCACTCAATATTTTTGAAGTTTTTTTGCTTTTGTCCCAAGCACAATGTGGTGCTAGACATCAAAAGAACTGAGCGTGATCACAGGGTTAAAGCAGAATCAACTGTTCTATGGCTATTCAGCCTGGATCAGAGCTCTGTGCCCTGGGGCTGAAGCCAAGCTACTGGGAGGGTCACTGGGAGACACCAGAGCAAAGCAGGGAGGTAGAGAAAGCTTTCAGCTACAGCCAAGTGTTGGGAGCCGGGCAAGATGCAATCACGAGTGTGGAATGTGAAGATAGTCACAAGGGAGATTTGATTAATTCTGTTGAATGAAATTTCTTTTGCCTGCGAGTACCATAGATCTGTTCCCATGCAATCTTAAAATATTCTTTTGCTCTCCTTACTTTTCTAATAGCCAGAACTAAAAATTCAGGTCACTTGCTTTATGTAGAGCAAAATTTCTCCGCTTATGTAGGCTTTTGAGGGCCGATGAATTTCTCCATGGATGAAGACCCTTTTCATTTTGAATTATCGTATTAATATTTAACTTTATTGATGCTGACCCCAAAATGTTACTCTGATTACAAGGTAAAAGGGGTTTACATGAACCTTTTTTAATACTTTTACCCATATAATCCTCATGTCTACTCCCTATATGAAAGACCAAGAAACCATTGGTTTCTTTATTTCCTTGAGGGTTCAATCACAGTATTGGAAAATAAGTCCAGGATTTAAAATGGAATGTTATCTGATACAAGTGGCTTATGTAGGGGACAGATAAGTAACTGTGTTTCTATAACAGGTTGTTGTGCTACCTGAATGCTGCTTTGTGAAGACGCAGAAGTAATCTGGCTGTTAATCTATGGTCATCAGTCTTAGAAAAAGGAAGCTGTGTTTAGAAAAAATATAGTCTGTTGGTGTGGAGTTCTAGAGGAAAAGTTATTATCTGGATGTAAATGAAACAAAATGGAGCCTAAAATAATTCCAAAGAGAGGGGCATTTATTCACTTGCCAGATGTGATCCCTGCCTTTCTGACCTTTCTCCATATAATTACAAGACTGGGTTGTAGAATTATCAGTGGGGAACTATAAATGATTCTCCACTCCCTATGCTGCTGCTGTGACAATATTTGACGCCCCCTTAAAAAAGGTGAGGGCATTGAAAATGAGTAAGTCAGAAGCAAAACAGCTATTGTCATCAGAGCTTACCGCCCAGCCTGTTAGCCTGTAAGTAAAAGCAGCAAAAGCATTGTTGTCCTGGAGACCTTGCTCTGCTAGCACGGAAAAAGATACCACCAAGCCCAGGGTGGGGATATGAATAGAGGAGGCTTTTGTCTCTGAGGATTGCAGAAGCTTTCTAGGATGATAAAGCTACTTCACAGAAACTTGAGTAGGGGAAAAGAAATCATGAACTCAGGTCACACAGTTGGGTCAGAACAATGTTAATAACATTGCCAAGGTCTGCATTCAGAGAAATACATCTGCCAGTCCCCCATGTGGCCCTGGGGAACTCAGTCCCATATCCTGATCCAAAAGCTAAACATTGCTTGGTAGGGTTTTCTGTTTTTTCAATTGTGTGATAGAAAATCGTTTTCAGTGTCTTTTTCTCTTCCTTTTAAATCCTATCCTCAATGGATTTAGTCTTTCTAAAGCACTTACTAGGATTATTTTGTACTATTGTGTCAAATCTAATCTAAAGAAGCAGCTTCTTTTAAAAATAATTCACATAGTTGGGTATTGGAATGCTTTGCTAGCATTGCAGTATCTTTTATGCACAATCATGGAAAAGATGGAACAGATCTTATGAGCATTCTCTAGAGGCCTTGAAGTGTTGTAAACCAAAGAGAATATCATGGACTCATTCCTGGAGACTAGAACGTAAAGGTGGATTTCCCACAGGATGTGTGAATGTTTGGACTAAAACAAGAAGCTTTCTCTTTCCTGCCCACCACCCTGCTCTAAGTCCTTTCCTTTTCTCTACTCCCTGGAGGTATGGCAAACATTTGAAGTTTTGTTCTATTTTTCATAAATATTTTCTTTCTTGCTTTAACATTGTTGGAAAAGACTACTTTCTAAAACAACTATTAGGAAGGAACTGGCTATTTTTGACATGAGAAGCCTAGAAATATTTCTTGGTGTTGTGATTTTTCATTGGTGGTGGTGTTTGTTTTTTGTTGTGCTTGTGTTTTTTTTCTTTTCTCTTCCGCTACTTCCCATTGCCTCAGGCTTATAGCAAACACATCAAACCCCTCTTAGAGTGCATATTCCAGATCTAAGTGCTGATTGTCACTTGCTTTCATGGTGTAACTATAATCTCTATTTATAGAAACTTATTTTCTAGTCATTAAAAAAATCTTTGGCTGCTGACTTTTTAGATCACCGTTATTTTTACAGTTCTGTCAGCTCCTCAATTGTTTCTACTTAAAACAGTCCTTAAAATTGTAGACACTTTAACCTTGAACATCAACTGACTACTTGTGAATTTAGATGGTTTTATAAAGATGGAGCAAGACAGGTGTCATGCGCCTCTGTGTGAAGAGACCACCAAACAGGCTTTGTGTGAGCAATAAAGCTTTCAATCACCTGGGTACAGGCGGGCTGAGTCCGAAAAGAGAGTCAGTGAAGGGAGATGGGGTGGGGCCGTTTTATAGGATTTGGGTAGGTAAAGGAAAATTACAGTCAAAGGGGGATTGTTCTCTGGAGGGCAGGAGCGGGGGTCACAAGGTGCTCAGTGTGGGAGCTTTTTGAGCCAGGATGAGCCAGGAAAAGGACTTTCACAAGGTAATGTCATCACTTAAGGCAAGGACCGGCCATTTTCACTTCTTTTGTGGTGGAATGTCATCAGTTAAGGCAGGGCAGGGCATTTTCACTTCTTTTGTGATTCTTCAGTTACTTCAAGCCATCTGGGTGTATATGTGCAAGTCACAGGGGATACGATGGCTTGGCTTGGGCTCAGAGGCCTGACTACAGGTTTCTTCATCTTTGTTTTAGCTGGAGAGATACTTAAAGTATGTTAAGAGCTGATGGACTAATATTCCAGCCACTTGATTTTAGATTTTAGAGAATTTGTACCTATGAATCTGTGCCCCTGCATACCTATGTAAAAGGTTACTTTTAATAGTAATAAGATAACAGAAGATTATATTGAATATGTGATTTTTTTATTTTGCAAAAATTTTCTAAGCATATACAACGAAAAGGTAGAAGTCTTTGCCTTCATATGTTTGGCTCTTTCTATAGTAATCCCTCTGTCACACTCGTACTGCAGAATACTAAACAGGTGCTCATTTTCCTGTGCCTAACCCCTCTGCCATGGCCTCACACCACCTAACCAGGGTAAGATAAAGCAATTCTTAAAGGTTCAAGTTGGGTGATGCCTCCTCTAGAAAACCTCCTTTGACCTACCAGGTTGGGCTAGACCTGCCCTCTGGCTCCCACATGCTTGCTCCAGTATTGGATCTGCACTGTATCACACTATTCTGTGGGAGATTCTATGAACTATGAGCTCCTTGAGACTATGGCCTTACCACTTGCCTATTTCTGACACGTGATAAAAACTCCACAAATATGGTTAAATAGAGAAATGTTTTATGGGAGTATTTAGTTGTTAGATATTTTCATCTTACTATAAGTATTGTTATAGTTTTCATAATTCTGGGTTCAATGTTAAATATTTAAAATTTGAGACTTTGGAAAATGGTAAAATATATTAATAGTTTATAATTTATTTATCTATTTTTAGGTTTTACCTCAACTTTGTTACTGAAGAAGTGGAAAACCCTGAAAAGTAAGTAGCCAGATGTACCCTGAAATTTTTATGAAGAATAAAATTTAAGATTACATAGTTTGAAAAGCATACTTGAAGAAGGAATTCAGTGTGGGCTAGTGAATCTTATCATCATCATCATCACTATAATTCTTAGATAAGATTTATTTGACTTTATCATAGATTATATACATAATTATATATTATAATTATATACAAATAGCTTAATTATATAGTCTACTTTCAATACTAAGTTGTCTTTTAACCTGAACATAGGAAAGAATAAAGTTATATTTTAAGTAGCCTATCCCATATAAACACATACATGTAACTTAATGTGGACTCTCAATTACCCACAGGATAGCTTGAACTCAAAAAGTTAATTATTTCTAACAATTCATGTAATCTTTTTTCATAACTATAGAATTAAAGTGAGTAATGTAATTACTGGATGATTACTTACAAAAACCTAGAAATACCTACAGAATGTTATAGGAACTTACAAATTTGGGGAGCTGGATAAGTTTTACTCTTTCTTTCCAGGTAACAACTTGATAAGTGAATGATTTGATGGTGATTTATGTAATATTTTCAAAATGAACTAACTTAGAGAAAAATGAATTGTTCTTATAATATGTTCATAAACATTGGATGTTCTACAGGGAAAAATAATTCATGGGCAAAAGAGGGAAAATTTAGGAACTATAGTATAGGATAAAATGTAGACTAAATTATAAAGTTATTTAATTAATTTTACTTTATTGAACATCTGCTATGTTCCAGTCACTGTGCTGGGAACAGCTTTCATGATGCATAAGACTTGTCTTGAAGTATTTTGTTGACCAGTCAATGAGTCAAATGTGCAAACAAATAAATGTAACAGTGTGGTTGGTACCAAAATAGATTATTTATCTAATTTGGAATAAAGGAAAGAAGGAAATACTTAAGTGTATCTAGAGAGATGTTGTTTATAATAGTGTCTCAAATGATGAATAGGTGTTCCTTATATAAATATAAGTGAGAGAGAAGAGGGATATGGGGCGGGCAGTAGGGAGAGAGAGAGAGAGACAGAGAGGAGAAACACACACAAACACAAACACACACTGATTTCTAGGAAAAAGAACAAGTACAAAGGTGCATCAGTATGAAATAGCCTGGACATCAAAGAATATGCCTAAGGATTGACAATTCACACTAAGATAGACTAAGAAATTCTGGAACCTGGAGTCTTGGGAAATGGTAAACTGATTAGATCTGGCCAAGTACCAGGAATGTCAGAGTTTAGAACACACAAGCCAGCAATTGGTATCTGATTCAACTGCTATGCAAATCAATATGTAATTTAAACATGTGAAAGTCTATTTTATTAAGAAATATGACCAATTTATGCCAGTATTGTCATATTTATAACTGGAATTGTAGGTCGAGAACACATATTTCCCAAGAGCTAGTTCTTTCTAAGCATTACTTGGAAATGGCAAACTACCTTATGACTGTAAACCCATTGATTACAGAGATAAATAGGTTGGCCTGTCTTTTTAGTTTTTGAGAATAGCTTGTATATAAGCAGCAGCATAGAGAAAAGACAGTTCTTATTGGATATAATATAAAATATTTATTGAATTTCTTTTATGGGAATAAATTATTATGGTTTGTAACAATGTCTGTTAAGTCTAAAGACATTTTAAAGACATCAATTACTAGAATTTAACATAAGAATATTTTTTATAAGCAAATGGCAAATTGTAGGGTTGCAGACAAGACCTATAACATAATATTTATTGTATGATACCTCAGTGGTGTAGATATAATTCATATTATCTTTAATATTATTTAACAGTTTAAGCATGATTTTTGTTTGACACATGTACAGTAATACTATTGTGAATATTAAGCATATCTTTAAGCTACTTACGCCATTATTACCTCAACCCAAATTTCTGGTGTATTCCAGTAGACTAGTGTTCCAATTAAGGATTGTCTCCTTCTCTTCTTTAAATGAAGGGCCTTAGTTGCACACCACTGATAAGGTCCATGATTTAGTGCACACAGATACTAAGGAACAGTGATGGTGATGTATTGATTCAGTGTTTGTTTTTTTTTTTTTTAATTCTGTTGCAAAGAAATTCTCTTATCTCAAAAATGGAAATAATACTAGCACATACTTCACTGGGTTGTATTGATGATTAATATGCATAAAGTGCTTAGATTAGTAACTGTCATTTTTAAATTTCTATATAATTGGTTGTCATTACTACTGTTATTGTTATATACTTTATTAGAACAAGGTAACTTATTATAGTGTTTTCTAGAATAGTGTTTTCTAGAATTCAATATTCCAAGCAATTATTTTTCTTCAGAGCTTTTGAAAGAAATGTGAAAAATTACACCATTTTGAAGCTTGCTCTAAACTTTTAGTGCCAAACCTCATATGCATTTTTTATCTCTATTATGCATTCTTGATCCATAAAATATCTTTATGGGATATCTATGCTATCTTGATGCATGCATACGATGTGTAATGATCACATCAGGATAATTGGAATACTCATCACCTCAAACATGTATCTTGTTTTGTATTGAGAATATTCCAAATTTTCTCTTTTAGCTAATTTAAAATATACTATGTTTTTGATAACTATGGTCACTTTACTATGCCACTGAACATTAGAACGTATTTTATCTAACTGTATTTTTGTTTTCGATAACCAACTTATCTTCATTACTTTCTCCTTATACTTTCTAACATAGGTAACCATCATTTTACTCTCTACCTCCATACGGTCAATTTTCTTTAGCTCACACATGAGTGAAAACATACAATATTTGTCTTTCTGTGCATGGCTTACTTTGTTTAATATAATGTCCTCCAGGTTAATAAATGTGGCTTCAAATAACTGATGATTTCATTCTTTTATTGGATGAATAGTATTCTAGTGTGTATATATATGTGTGTATATATGGTATATATAATATATATAAATGTGGTGTATGTACATACCATATATTACATATAAATGTGGTATATATATACCACATATACCATATATACACCATATATATAAATGTGGTATATATACAATATATAGTATATGTATAGCATACATAGTATTATATATGTATATATAGTATATATAGTATTATATATGGTATATATAGTATATATAGTATATGTATGATATATATAGTATTATATATGGCATATATAGAGTGTATATACCACATTTTTTATATATATACTATTATATATGTATATATACCACATTTATATATGGTATATATACTATTATATTATGTATACTATTATATATACCATATATAAATGTGGTATATATACATATATACTATATATACACACATATATAAATGTGGTATTTATATATAGTATATATATTTATGTATTTATATTATGTATTTATATTGCAGCACTATTTTGAATAGTGCTGCAATAAACATGAGAGTGCAGATATCTCTTCAGTATACTGATTTCCCTTCTTCTGGATATATACCCAGCAGTGGGATTGCTGGATCATATGGAAGTTCTATTTTTAGTGGTTTGAGAGCCTCCATATTGTTCTCCATATTGTCTGTACTAATTTACATTCCCACCAACAGTGAATTTTAGATTCAGGGAGTACATGTGAAGCCCTTGAATTTAAAATAAAAGTCTTTTTTTATTTGTTACATGGATATATTGCATGATGCTGAGGTTTGGGGTATGAATTATCCTGTCACTATTGGGTAGGGGGCATAGTACCCAGTAGGTAGGTTTTTAGCTTTTGCCCGCGTCTTGCCCTCCCTACTCTAGTAGTCCCCAGTATTTATTGTTCCTGTCTATGTGTTCATGAGTGCCCAATTTTTAGCTCCCAATTATGAGTGAGAACATGCAGTATTTGGTTTTCTGTTTCTCTGTTAATTTGCATAGGATAATGGCCACCAGCTGCATCCATGTTGCTGTAAAGGACACGATATCATTCTTTTTTATGGCTGCATAGTACATGTATATGTACCACATTTTCTTTATCCAGCCCACTTTTGATGGGCACTTAAGTTGATTCCATGTCTTTGCTATTGTAAATAGTACTGCAATAAACGTATGAGCGCATGCGTCTTTTCCATAGAATTACTTATTTTCCTTTGGATATATACCCAGTAATGGAATCGCTGGGTCAAATAGTAGTTCTGTTATAAGTTCTTTGGAAAATCACCCAACTTCTTTCCACAGAGGCTGAACTAATTTACATCCCCACCAACAGTGTATAAGCATTCCCTTTTCTCCACAGCCTTGCCAGCATCTGTTATTTTTTGACTTTCTAATAATAGCCCTTCTGACTGATGTGAGATGCTATCTCATTGTGGTTTTGATTTGCATTTTTCTGATGATTAGTGATGTTGAACATTTTTTCATATGTTTGTTGGCCACTTGTATGTCTTCCTTTGAGAAGTGTCTCTTCATGTCCTTCATCCACTTTTTAATAGGATTACTTGGTTTTTGCTTGTTGAATTGTTTAAGTTCTTTATAGATTTTAGATATTAAACTTTTGTCAGATGCATAGTTTGTGAGTAATTTATTTAATTCTGTAGGTTGTCTGTTTACTCTGTTGATAGTTTCTTTTCCTGTGCAGAAGCTTTTTAGTTTAATTAGGTCCCATTTGTCAATTTTTGTTTTTGTTGCAATTGCTTCTGAGAACTTAGTCATAAATTCTTTCCCAAGGCCAATGTCCACAGTCGTACTTCCTAGGTTTTCTTCTTGGGTTTTTAGAGTTTGAGGTCTTACATTGAAATATTTAATTCATCTCGAGTTAAGTTTTGTATATGATAAAAGATAGGGGTCCAGTTTCATCCTTCTGCATAAGGCTGGCTGGTTATCCAAGCATACCATTTATTGAATAGGGAGTCCTTTCACTGTTGCTTATTGTTGTTGACTTTGTTGAAGATCAGATGGTTGTAGGTGTGTGACTTTATTTCTGGGTTCTTTAACCTGTTCCATTAGTCTATTTGTCCTTTTTTGTACCTGTATC